CTTCTCCAGAAATTATTTCAGGGGTCTCTTGATAGTCAAGTATCATATGCATTAGTTGTTTCAAAATAGTCCATCAAGAAATAACAGCTTCCTCATCCTTTGCTTAGCCTTCTCCACAAATAACTATTTTCAAGGTCCCTCTACGCTGAAGATACCTCTGTTTTAATTATGTTTATTTATTTTCATAGGTCCTTGACCTCCTAGGGACTACCTTCATAATATACGTATTTGATCGTGTTTGAAATTATTTTGGTAGGTGGTGGACCTTCAGCTTCTTATACGAGGCTAATTATTCCAGGGTACCTCATACCCACCTCTCATTATCAATTAGGCAACCACCACCCACGTGTTGCCCCAAATAATTTACAGCAGAAATTACTTTAAACAAATTATTTCAGTAGGTGACGGGTCCCCTGAATTAATTTCACATTGGGACTGGTGATCAGGCACGGTCAAGGCAGGGAATCCCAAACTGGTGCACCTTCTTCCAGTTGCATGGACACGGACAGGTTTTCGATCTGCACATGCATGCATCAAACGGACGGGCTCTCTTCCGAAACCTGCCAGCCAGGCACCTCGGCAGCATCTTTCTGATGAAGCGAGAGACCTCGAGCCGACACGCCCGCCGCCGCCGAAGAATCTTTCATCAAGGAATCCTGAGGTTTCTCTATCCTCACAGGTGAAACTACTTACATAATTTTCCAAAAAAATCTAGGAACCAAATGAATAGTGCGAGGGCTTCTTCAAGGAAGCTCCCCCGGCCCTCAGGCGGGGGGACCTTCCTTTTTGCTCTCACGCCGAAGAAGCGTGAGCTATCCTGCATCCTAAGTAGTAGCTACTTAAGCTACTCGCGACTCCCTGGCTTCTACTAGCTACCTCTAGCTACTACCTCTACCCCTGGGCTAAAAATACAAACACGGGTTCTCTATCCTCGGTGAAAAATCCCTAACTTGGGGCTAGACATCAACCCTTCACCGTCTGAAATGGAGCATGCAAGGCAAACTGGCACAGGAAGCAAACTGGTCGTCTGAAAGTGCAGTGGTCCCTACTCCAGAAGTGGTCCAAGATCGTTCTTAACCCGCAATTCTGACAGGTCAAATCAAAAACTCGTCCCATGTGAAGCTCACATGCTCCAGCTCGTTGATGATGTTTAGCTCCGCGTAGTACTTTGCCAAGCGCGGTAGGTTCAAGACCTGCACAACTCAGTGAGGCGTAAAGAGTCTGTCCCTTTGTTGATAAAGTAGAACAGGCCATGCTGCTGCCAAGAGTGGGAACGGGAACAACTCAGATTCTGTCAAGTGATTCCTTCCCTGAAGGTTTATTTCGTAACTAATGCTGCAGGTGACCCTTTGACCTCACAGAACAAACGATGAACAAACCACGAACAATGACCAGGTCGGAATGAAACATACAACAGCATTCATGTACGTCGGTCAGATGCCCCCCACTGATGGAACTCCACGGAGGACCCCGAATCTACGTCAAACGATGTCACATTCCAAAAACATGTTTCTCTTGAGACAAAAACAGCATCCTTACTACTAGGAGCAAGGACGCTACTAGGGGCTCCTGGCCTTACTACTAGGAGCAAGAAGCTATTAGGGGGGGTAGGCCGTAGAGGTGAGGTAGTAGCTAGAGGTAGCTAGTGGAAGAGCTAGTAGCTTAAGTAGCTACTACTTAGGACGCAGGATAGTTCACGCTTCTTCGAGGAAGCTCCCCCGGCCGCCCTAAAGGCAAGCTCCCCCCCACCGCCTTTAGGGCGGCGAGGGCGAGCTTCCTTGAAGAAGCGCTCGCACTAATGATTTTGCTTTCTAGATTTTGGAAACTTACGTATTGAATCGCATTGATGCAAACAATGATTTGTGCTTTTCTGGAGATGTTGTCTCTGCGCTGCCATTTTGGCTCCCCGGTTGAGTGTGGGGATTGCTTGCGGGACTTGCATGTAATGGCTCCCTATCCGTTCACCTACAACGCTTGTCCAGCAACCCTCAACTCAAATACTGAGGGTCTTGGCAGTTGCAAGAGATTGAACGTGTTTCTCCAAGTCAAAGCCTTAACTTTCAAACAAATTACTCTGGGATTATCATCCGCCTCCGGCTTGGACCATTGGACCCCCCCGGCTGTTCACCTTCCGATGGATTTTGTGAAGCCTGGACCTGAGTGAGTGATTTCTGGTCTGCAAGGACTCAGAACATGGATGATGCGACGACTCTGGAACCCCAACGCTGGAGACTCTGTCATTGCAGGTGTGCTGACTCTGTCTGCCACCACCTCTTGATGAAGACTCATTGCTATCTTTTGTTGAGATGTTTGGAACAAAGCAAGAATCGGCAAGAATTAGCTTGCCGAGCCTTGTAGTCAAACCTGAATCATGTACTACAACAATGCCCACACCCCAGGCTAGCCATTGGCATGCAACAAATGCTACTCTGCTCGGATACTACTACTCCATTGTGAAGGCCTGATGGTCCATGTAGCTCTTGCTGGAACGCCACAAAACTGGTTTGCTCATCTTTGCAATCTCTGCCACCCCAAGCTCATGTTCTAATGTTAAGTGTCCCAAACTAGAAAGCAAAAATCATTAGTGTGTGAGCTATCCTGCGTCCATATGTAGTAGCTTACCTGTAGCTAGTAGCTACCTAGCTTCTACTAGCTACCTACCTAGCTAACCTACCTCACCTCTACTAGTGACAGCGGCCTAACTGGCGAGACTTCGTTCGACGCTCTTATCTTCAGCTTCGTGACGTCACGAAGCGCAAGCGCCAGTCCGTCCGCTCGCAGCCTCCCACCTCTGTGAGCCTGGAGCACATTGGGTGCGCAGATGCATAAATGGTATGCAGGTAGAACCAACATAAAGGAAAACAACAAAATTTTAACGATAAAAAAGGAAAGACATGGAGAACACATGAAAAATCCCAAAGGATTCCAACGAGTCTACAGGAGTCATGGAGAGTCCAAAGGAGATCCTATTCTCCGTGATCATAAAGCATCTACAAGGTGTGGTCAGCACCCACTCCAGCAAGATTGTCATCAAATGTCCAATAATCTTCAGTCAAACTTGGTGATTCTGATTCTGCCTTCTCTGCAGATTGGCAGCCCAACTGCATCTCTCTGACAGTTCTCAAAAAAACAATGCTTTTGACACCCGCGTGCCGCGCAAGTGAGCATACAAGAGGTTTGCTAGAGGCTCTAATTGACTCCCCGTCTTCTCCGGAGAAGCTAAACTGTGGGTAGCTTAAATCTATAGCAGGTGTCTGGACACATCGACAAGGAGCAAGCAGCAGCTGTCAAAGTCATTGTGTGTCCGCTGCTAAAACAAAAGCCACCGAGATTTTTAGCATCTGCCCAACATTTGTGGGACAGGTCGGAAAACAATGGCTTGCACACGAAGGGGCTGTCAAAAGTGGACATCCTTTCTGTTCACCGCCCCTTCTGAATTTCACCGTTCGTCAGCTCCCTCAGCTGACTAGCTCAACGCGATGGGTAAACGGTGTGGGTGAGCAGGACCTCACCATCGTAGTTCACTGATTCAATGAAAATCTCCGACTTGCTGATGGTCAAATCGTAGAAACCATACTGGGCTTCCCCATACCAGTCTTCTGTGTGATCGGGATCTGGAGTGGCCTCGGAGGTAATCCCTCCACCTCCACCAGTGACGAGGCAAGTGATACCTGACATCAATTCAACTGACGGAAAGCCATGGAAAAAAAAAAACCATTTAAAAGCAGTTGTTTTGCTCCCTCACCCTAAATTGGTTCACGGGCTTGAGTGAAAAGTCCGACACTATCCAACATGGTTGAAATCGTGCCCAGATACCCATGTGGTTCTTTGCGTAGTCATCAGGGAACCAAAGCTCCTGATCATGACGATGTCCAGTGACCAGCAGGTCGAGGCCCATATTGGCCAAGCCTTTGTAGAAGCCTTGCTCGTGACCGCAGGGGAAATGCGTCACTGCGATCTGCCACGAGGCTTGACTCTTTGGCAGGAGCCGAGTCACCCACTCTTTCCTTACTTGAGGTCAAGGTCCCAACAGTTCCGCACTGGGATAATTCCACGAGATTAAATCTATACTATATAACAAAGGGGTTTGTAACACGGTTTGCAACTGGCGTTGGTGTGTTATGCCGTTATCCTTCATCTTCTGGATTTCACGCCCAAATTCTGCTCCTCCCACAGTGCAGCAAACCATCCAGGGCAGCTGTCCACGCTGGTGGGGCCATCGGCAGCACCACAGGTGGCCGAGGGCTTGTTGTTCTTGCGACTGCACCTCGCACAGCGACTGCTTTCTCTTCTTGGCAAAATCTGGAGGCTTAGGGGACAAATAGATTGAGACTCAGTGACTGATGGGTCAGGCTCCTCTTCCAACCATTGTCACCACCAAAACCATCCAAAAAAAAAACATGAATCCACTCCTGGCAAGTCCTAGAAAGAAACTGCGCTAGCTAGTGCCTCAGGGGGTGAACGCTTCTTCCAAAGGCTTTGCTGGACCACTGGATGTGAAGTGTCGCATTTTCAGCCTTAGAGGTCTTAAAGTAAAGGAGGACTCCCAAGTCTTGGCAACGCTGGGTCAAATCTTTTGATTCTCTGTTGCCATCGTGGTCCAGGGCACATATTGTGATTTGGATCCTCCTCAGGGGGCTTGGCATCCACAAAGTTGGAATCCAAGAAGTAATAGTCCACGTCGAAACCAAGGTCTGCATAAACCACCTCAGTGTCACACATGCAGTGACTGCAGGTGGAGTGTTGGTGTCGAGAGTTGTGTCTGGAAAAAGTGAAACGCACTTGGAATCCCAAGTGCTTAGCCTGCCACATCGCTGGTAGCAGCAAGATCAGTAAGCAGGGGCCAAACTGAAAAGGTCAGTGCTTGACATGGATTTTCTTCCCATGGTTCATAAAGGGTCATATAGCGTCCGACCATTGTCGTTCCATTTGGTCACTCCCTGGTGACTCCTCTCTTCCATGATGCTCCACCCTTTCACCCCGCAGGAGACCATGGAGTCACCATGTAGGGGTGACCCCACCCTTGACAAAAGTTCGACAAGCTGGGGCCGTTTCAGGTTGGTCCACTGACTGCTTTCGTGACCAAGCCACTGAGGTCTTGTAGTAGGGGGCCGGCAATACCCATCGGTCCGAGGCCCACGTGTAGGACATCTGCTGATCCCAAGCATTGTCGAACTTGAAGCCTGGAAACGGATTTCAGTCTACACAAATCAACACGGATTCCCCAGATTTTGCTGCTTCGGGTACTGAGACAGTCATTGTCATTGTATGAATTAGTAGTTGGGAGTAAACATGCTAATAGCGGGTACAGTAGTCAAGAAAGTGCTCTTGCAATAGCAAGGAGTAGTGCCGTTGCATTCTTGTGATTGGATTTCTTTGTTCGCGCAATCAAGTCGCCTCCCCAGTCGTGGTTTCCCAAGACACTGAACCAGGGCTTGTGGCTCAGTCCAGCTCCTTGGTAGACGCCCTCGAAGATCTGATCAAACTGATGCTTGGTCGGGTAGGCGATCCTTGAGACGACACGGAACAAACACGGCTGCTTGAGCAGCTACCATGGACACTCTGTGCATGGACACCACGGCTTCTTGGTTTGTCACACACACTCTGACACTTGTATTCAGTTACACTCAGTTCCCACGCTGAGAAGGAAGGTGAGGGACGGCAAGGTGGCAAAGTCCGCTGAAAAGTATTGTTGAACATTGTTCACACAGGCACTCATGCGTTCAAAGCGGCGGCAAAACGATCAAACCGGCGGTGCAGCTGCTGGGGAAGAGTGGGTTTGTGGGGAGTATCATGAACTACCATGGAAACAAAAAAGGTGATTGGAACAGCTTGCTCAACCGTTGGTTGCAGGTACGTCGGCCAGCGTCCTGGCCGATATCCTCAGGACACTGCAGAGAGCTTTGTTAAGTGGAGCTCTGCAGGCCTGCTCCACTCCCCTGCCGAAGTCGGTTGAGAACCCTTTGTCCAGGGGTGGACACACACAAATCGCCGGCTTCGGCGCTTTTTCAAAGAACGGTGGCACACATACGGTGCCGCTTCGCGGCGCGCATGTGAAAAACCTAAATAGTCACCTAAAAAGCCTTAGAAACAAAAGGAAAGAAAGACAGAAAGAGCAGCGCTAAGAGGGGAAGAAAGAAAGATAGGTGTAGAAAAATGAAAAGGTGAATACTTAGCCCTTGACTGGGGTAGGGAAACGAACCTCAAGAACAACCTAAAAAGCCTGAAAGAAAGCCCAACAAACGACGAAAAACGCAAGAAGGAAAGCGGGGGGCAGGGAGGGGGTGTATGTCCATGTGTGTGTACGTGTGTGTGTTTGAATACCTAGCACTCTAGAATTACTGAATACTTAGACGAGGTGAATTAGGTGCACTAGTTAGGGAGCGGGACTTTAGTCTTAGACCGCCCGGGTAGGATAGACTAGAACAGGAACAACACAGGGAAAGGCACCGACACACAAGTGTGTCGAGTGCCATTTCCCTATGTTGCCCTAAATGGGTAGGGAGTAGAACACAGCGGGGGGGGGGG